ACCTTCTTCCGTTTCACCATCATCAAATACATAAAAGGTTACAGATTCTGATTTTAGGTATCGGTCTAAATCTGCATTCATTGGCACTTGGAAACACATATGGTCATCTATTTGTGGATTGTTGCTGCTACGAATGATGGGAGTATCATGGTCTGCAAAATCAAAGAACTTGTAGACAACATAAGGATTTGGCTGAAGATGTTTTTTTCGGGATTGTAGACTGTTACAACATTTTATTGTAATGTGGAGTTCATTTAAATTGCCATCTGTTGAAGTGCTGACTTGGGCAGTTCTGAGTATCTGCTGCTTTAAATGAAAAAGAAGTTAAATTAAAAACATTAGAATTCTTATGTTGGCAAACTCTAAGAACTATATAAATAGAACAAATAACTGATTATTTCAATGACACTCCAACTACTGTTTAATTTTATATGTCAAAATATTACTTGTTCTATAAATATGACAACATCTCTCTTGGGTTGTTGGTATAAGGAAATAAGAGGTTAATCCTTTCAAGGTCTGTGATTGTTTGCTTTATTCTTCTAAAGTTTTATGATCTACTTGTCATTTGATTATCTACAAAGCAGTGAAGATTACAGTTTTAAGAGTGATTCATATCTAGTACCACTTTATAGTTAAGGATTCTGGTCTTGACAGCTATTCTGTGTCAGGAAATTTTTATAACTGTAGTCCCTTTTATATATATACTTTTCAATAATTAAAATTGCACCACAGATTCCTCTGGTTTTTTCTTCCTCCTAAACCTTTACCTACATAAACAATTTACAAAATTTAGAAATCAGCATGGGAATAGCGTAATAAATATTTGAAAGAAATTAAAAATAAATTAAAAAACTCAATGATATCACAAATTTTTTTGAATTACCTATCAGCATGGCTTGTACATACTGTGGAACCCATAGCTGGCAAACTGGGAAATTCATTTTAATAAAAATTAAAGAATAAGAAGAAAACAAATAACATGACTATCTGAAACGAGTAATCCTCATCTAGATTGACCTCAAAAGGCTCTCCTTTTTTACTGTAATATATCACATCTATTTTCATTAATTGTACCTAATTATCTTGCTTGTGGAAGCCAGAGTTCTGTCCACTGGTATATGGGGAAACGTTATCAGTTTGATTTTTTGTGATAAAATGTTAAATATTTTGATTAAATAATCCACACTGAAATAGTTAACAAGAAAACCAAACATGACAGTTTAAGTCCTTAATATGCAACCTTAAGACTACTATTTCTGGCTACATACAGAACTGGAAAAAAAAATTTATAGCAGTTTATGTACAGTTCATGTTTCCATGATTTCTGCAGCTATACAGGACACAATTTTATATGTATGTTTAACTAGTGAAAGCTTAAATTTTGGAATGCACAACTGAAGTTACTTTTGCAGCTGCAGATTGACAGAACCCTTAACATAATGTAACCATCTGCTATAGCTATATGACTTTTAGTTTCTGCCACGAAACATTTCTGACAACAGTGGTGTTTCACAGAGCTCTGTAGAAGCTGCTCTTCATTTCTGCCATTTTTCCTATTTTATTTTCTCCCATATAATCAGTATATTTCAGTTGCCATGTTTGAATTTGCAATTTTACAATAATTACAACAAAACGCTCTGTTCCACATGCCTTACCTTTCAACTGTGTTTGGACTGGTAACACAGCTAGAAATAACATAATCAAAAATAGAGAAAACTAAATAACAGATTTTGGCATTTAACAACGGCCAGATTTCTTGAGCTAGTTAAAAATACCTTTGATTCTTTTAAAAATCATATTTAAAGCAAATGTTACAATGTTATCAAACACGAAGTTTTTCTGAAAATGCCTACGCTAACCTTTAATAGAATTCATACACTAAACATACTTGTCAGATTACATCATGGAATCCATTGAGATTCTAGTACAATATAAATTTACATTATGGAATAATAAAAAACATTAAAGTTACTCCAGACTTACAGTAATTTAAACTGCTATAGGTAAAAAAATTGCCTGTTAGAGACTCTAAAGTGTCTTAATTTACACATTTCAACCTGATTGCTTTTATTTCTTAAACAATTGCTAAAGATATCTGGAAGTCCCTTCTTTTTCTGTGACCCTTATTTAAACGTGATTATACAGTGCATTGTATTATCAAAATTCTCTTCATTATCCAGCTAAAAAAAAAAAAAGGTGAAATAATCTCAATCTCATAATACTCAAACATTAAGAACTTTGAGACCTTTCTGAACAACCACTTCACCTGTTATACTGATCTGACACCCAGTTGGTTTAACATTCCTGAATATCATACTAACAAAATGTTAAGAAAATCTGGCACTTACAGGTTAAGAAAAACTAAATATAATAATTTCAAATATTCTAGTGACAAACTGAAGTTTAAGACTTTGTCTCTTCAGGAAAGCTATAGTTCAACTGGTTCTTTATCTCTTCACATGAAAAACATGTCATTCAACTGCTGAAGGTATTTTCCAGTTCTAGACCCTTTAACATATCAAGACTTGAAGTAAACTATTTGAACTGAGAAAGTAATTTTGAACAGTTTATTCTATCAAAACTATGAAGTACAAACCCAAACATACCTGAGATGGTTGTTCACGTTCCCTAGAATTGGATGTTATATACCCCAGAGCCTTTGACCTCTCTTTGTAGAGACTAATAGCTTGATCTATAGGAACTCGTAACCTGATCCCGTATTCTACGGTACCATAATTTTGAATGTTTCCTTTGATTCCTAAGGAATAAATACATAAGCGATTGCATTAATTTTCTTTTCAACATTAAATTACTTAAGTCAAAAGCTAGGAAACACCACAAATTAAAGATTAGTTATCTTGTGACTACGCATTATGACAGTGTTTGTGACATGAAATGTGCAGTTCATGTTAGAAACAGAAACTCCTCCTCTGGCTCTACATGTATGATCCAAAACTGAAACATGAGCATTTTTTTTATATCGTAATCTGCAATATTTATTATCCAAGCTATAGAGTCAAGTCAAGTTCATTATTTTAATCTCTTTAAGGCAAATAAAGCTTAGGTCAGTTTTGTATGTCAACAGTTGGAAATGTCCCATAAAGTGGTATGCAGTTTAAATTACTGGCTTCTTAAACCAGATTTTTGACAAAAGTGGGCAGTTAGAGGTCTCTATATATACTGATCTGACAAAATACTTCTAAAAGAAAAAGTAAGCAGCACAGAATATTAAGTACTTCTTAAAAAAGGCTTGTCCGGGTTATCTTAAAATTATTTTAAAACAATTAATTAAATTAAAAGGAAAAAAAAAATGCACAAAACCTAAACTAACTCCCCCATAGATTATGCTACTATACAAAATATTATTAACTGTAATCACCATCATTTGCACCTTTTTGATGCCTTACAACTATTATATGAAGGCCTCTGACTTACCAGTTTAAATTACAACCACTGTAACCATTTCTTCATTTATTTATTGGTAAGGAATGAGGGGATGTATGTATGACATTTGGGCCAGATATAAAGCACTGATGTTTGATAGTCTTATAATGCAGAAATGTTTTTGTTTTTAATGTATATTCTGCCAAACAGAGAAATTGCATATGCAAAAGTAGAATGATTTAATTTCATTAAATATATTACAAGACTACACTGAAATTACTGTATGTTTCACAGCTGAAGTAAGTAGGGCCCCTTGTATCAATAACAGTCTCAAAGGAGGAAAGAAACTTGCATTAAACAACTAAAACACAATTAACAATATACAAAATAAAGCAAAATGAAAAAGAAAATCAGTCATTTAAAAATGTCTTCTCTACAGTATTCAGAGAAATTCTAACATATGAATAATACTAACATATGAAAATACAATGCAATACAATACTTTTAAAATAGTAATACAGGTTTTGTAACTACTTTTCTCCATGCTGTTCTTGTATAGTTCTGTTGAGTAAGGTGATGCTATTTTTTATTAAAAATCTTTACATGTGTAGTAGTAACACTTTGCAAGTAACCTTTATACAAGACAAAGAATCACTTGCTCTTTTCAGACAAGATTCTCTAATGCCATTTCCAGCATGCCACATACTTCTAATGTCACGTACTTCAGGATCACTATATTAACACCATCTTTGTCCTCAGCCATTATGGACAAAATTGCACTCTGCAAAGTCAGAGCTTTCCCACAACTGTAGGTAGAATCACCAGAACATGCTGCAAATCCAACAGGAAATACCATGTTGTGTAAATCTCCTTTTTTTTTTCTTTTAAAATAGTAATACACAAATTCATTGTTGGCCAAATACCATTACTTAACTGTCACTTACAATACTGCATCAATCAGAATACTTTTTGATATGTTAATTACCAACTAAATTTGCTGTGCTGTAGAACTTCCCACTGTTCTCCAAGATTTCGTGGAGCTTCAGTTGACATGCAGCAACTGTTTCATAATCTGTGCCATATGCATGATGAACCTCAAGCGTGATACTCTTTTGCCGTATATAGTGCAAGAAGCAGTCATCAGCCTGCACAAGATACTGAGAAGTGAAGTCATACGATGGGGTACGCCCATAAACTACTGGGGTTGTCTGAAGTTCGAAGTCATAGAATGCATAAGTACAAAAAGTTGCAGGTTCATGGTCACCAAAAGCACGCATAGCTCCAGAAGAGAAGATCACTTTGCTGATATGAATTTCAAAAAGGTTCTCTCCTCTTCGTAAATGTAAAGTTTCATCAAATTCATCCACTGGATCACCCGGCAATATTTCTGGTCTGGATTTATGCGGTTTTGTACCATAGACAATATCTCTTAGTTGGGCTGCAACAAATAAAATAAAATAGAGCTACGATATGACCGTCTTGTTTAAAAATCAAATATAATTAATGTCTGAGTAGGGAGGAAAAAAGCATAATTCAATTATATTAACAGTGTTACTTTCTTAAAGGTGTTACCAAAAAAAGAAATCACACATGTAAAATCATACATCTACTGCTCATTTAGCACACTGACAACAATCAAGAATACCTCCACAATGGAGCTGCTTCAATATACATAAAAGCAGACACAGGTGTCTAACAATTAATAACGGATTACAAGGGAGTTAGCAAGCAAAAATTCAGAAGTCTTATGCAATGATCAAAATAAGTATCACTATGCAAATGTAGCAGAGACTTAAGACATATATTTGTAGGGTTGAACTAAATTTGCTAAGAAAGAAAGAATACATCTGACTTTTAACCTCTGTAATATCTTGAGTGGACAGAACTATCAGCAAAGACCTTTACATGTTGCCTGGCCTCATAGGTGGTAAGTGGTGAACAAATGCTTACAAAATTAGGACATAAATCATCATGCAGTCCTGTAGTACAGGGGATGCAACTTGGAGACAAAACATGAAAATTGTTATGACATCTGGGTTTGCAAGGTATCCTATTTCAGGCTTCCTATGCACCTTTTACAAACTGAAGCCATTAAAACAGCAATTTAAATTCATTATATTGAAATATTCTGTTGGTATATTATACCATGACTTCGGGATTTTTCGCAACACATAAAATGATTATGCAATGATAGAACAGCAAAATAAAAGGTTGACTATAAATGTACAATTTATTTTAAAAAAAAAAAAATCTAAGTTTGGTAGTTTTATTCTTACTCAGCAATAGCTGCAGCATAAATGCTTTGTTGAATTTTGTTTGATTAATAACTTTATCATTTAAGTCAATGAAACAGCACACAGATAATTTTCCACGAAAGAACTGACCTTTCTGCTAGTTTTAGGAATGGAAAAGTATTTCAACTGAAGAACAAATTTACAACAATAACTTGCAAGAGATAAAATATAAAAAAAAATTAGAGAAGAATATACTTTAAAGATACCTTCTAGTTTTCGGATGCGTGCAGCTCTAATATCAAGAAGATGGACATACTGTTCCAGTTTTAACTCATAGTCTTTCTGTAGACTTTCCATCTTTTGTGTCACTGCTTCTACTTCAGTCTGAAAAAAATTTGCATGTAAAAAGGACTTTTGAGGCTTGTCTGCACTGATGCTGCACATGCTTTTGGCTACAAATTAAAATACAGTTAGATTTGAGGAAAGAACATTTAGAGTACACAAAAATAACAGCAGTTTTTAATTCAGCAATACAGCAATCAATTCCAATTTCAGCAAAATCTAAAAACATTATTAAGAAAAACAGACTAGCTATTCTTTCAGGACAATGTTCCTAATAGTTTCTTTAATGATTTTGTTATTTTAAAACTTAGGTTTATTGAACAAAAAGTCAAAATATGATCTGCAATAATCCAGCACAAGAGAGTAAAAGCAGCGTTTTGTGAAAAAGGAAGCTTATTTGATAAGTACACTTACTATTTTTCCTGTGAGGACCTGATAAGAGCTCAGAGATAATCCCGAGAAGGCATGGTTTGAGGGCTCTGATCAGGGTGAGTTAAAAGACTAAAGTTATAATCACTTGGATCTCATGCTTTTTAAACAATACTTTCAACAACAACAAATATTAGGTTACCTATAAACAGACTGGCTTTGTTGCTGAATTTGCAAGTCTCACTTATGACAAGTTCCAGTGCTACAAATGTTAAAATGTTATTATCAGGTTATTTTCCACTGTGAGTAGAGTTTAGTACCTGGTAATCTTTGTTAATTTTGTGCTGCACAATTAACATATTCCTTGTCTTTTCAAGTTCTTGCACTGTTTCCGCATGTGTTAACTGCAGCTCCTGCATGGAGTGTTCTAAATCTTTATGGATATCATCTTCTACTTTTTCCAAAAACATTAGGTCCCCATTTTTCTGCTGCTTTTGAACCTGGAGCAAATTTGAAAAATTACTAAAACAAACTTTCGTGAAATATTTGGGTGTATTTGGGCCTGGTTAAATGTAACACTGGGATATAATTCTGGAACAACAATAAGACAGTAAGCATAACTGTAAATTTTGAGCTTGTGGTAACATGAAAAATAAGAATGAGGTAGACCAGTAAGTGTCAAGATTGTATTCAGTAATGTAATCTCGTGATCATCAGGAACCAATTAAAATGTATGAGATACTCAGAAGCAATCACTCCTGTCTATGCAATGAAAATACAAACCCCTTAATATACTTGCCTTTTATATAATTAATAATCCTGCTTCAGTGAATGTATAAAACCTGAATTATTATTCTCAAGTCTACATTGCTTCTGTTATTAATACCAGGGTTTAAATTTTCATCTAGGTGATTTTTTTTTGTTTTGTTTTTCCTTCTTTTTTTCATTATCATTATAGAATTATCATTTGCATTTCAGTAGCAGAAAAAGATTCTATTTACAGTAAACAATTCCTCAAGAAAATAAAATGTAAGTCACTAGAACACTGGAAACTTAATGCAAACTTATTTTTTCACTGATTTCTTCCTCCCACCCCCACTTCATTTTCAATTTTGCTGTAAACAATAAAATTACAACTTATGTGCAAGAGAAAGAAATAGAACATTTTCTGGGTATTTCTGTTTTTCTGTTTTAATAAACAAAGAGAAGTTGCTAAGCATCACTGTATCGCATTTTAGAACTTCATGCTTATAGTATGCTCCCATAAATTACAGAATTAATAAACAAAAATGTTTTTTTTAATAAACGTTATTGGAAGGACACGATGGCACAATAAGTAATTTAACTGAGAAAAAGTAAGTTTTTTAAAAAAATGCTTGTGAATCTGGTTTAATTCACTTTTGATGTTATAATGAATTATCTACATAACTCTAGATTTCATCCTGGCAATTTTTTCATCTTTCCTTCTGCTTCACTGTAACTGAAAAATGACAAAAGCACACATATGAGCCTGAATCATTAACTACTAAAAGATGCACAAATAATTCAGCCCTTGCAAATCCCAGGCATTGTGTAGAAAACATGTAATGGTCAACAAAGGGTTTCAAGAAAAAAAGAAAAAAAAAAAAGAATAAAAGCAAAGTATATAAAGTCATAGAATCGTTTGGGTTGGAAGGGACCTCAAAGATCTAGTTCCAACCCCCCATATGCTCATTCTTTGTAAGTTACCTTTATAAGCAAGAGAGCTTCACTGAGTTCTGCCACATCAATATCACTTTCCTGAAACAGAAATACTTAGTGAAAAGGTGTTATCAAATGTGAATGAATATCGAAGACAGACATTCAGAATAACAAGATGCATTCTCACTAGACATGACATTTTGCTTGATATCATGAATAAATAAACACTTACATTTCTGTATTCTTTTACTTTCAAAAAGAATTTGCACTATGCATAAAACATAGAATGGGATTATTTGCTCATATTCTAAACAGAAATAGAGTTCACCTTCGTCAAAAACTTCATGTGATTTTTCATTTCATCTAGTTGTTGCTTATGTTTCAGGTAGCATAACTGCAGGTCTTTATTCTCTTGCATCAGCTTTTCCTTTTGGTCTTAACATAGAAAAAGAATAAGATATTCTACTTAATTCAACATAATTATAAAAATTATAGACTTGCTTTTTCATATTAACTTATGCATGAAAATTTAATTTTAAAAGGTAGAAACTAATTTATTTTGTATAGGAAAATCTTTGGTATTTACAAAGGGATAGAAAACTACTCTTTGATCTGGTATAGGTGTATGGATTAAAAAAACCAAAACATTCTTACTTTCATTAAAAGGGAACCTACAGCGTCAAAAATCTACACTTTCTGCATTTTTAAATAGAAAGATATGCCCAACTAAGTACAGCTTTCTGTTTTGGGGGAACGGAGGGAAGAGGGGAATAGAGAGGATATAAAACTATTTGTTAATCTGAATGACTAAGCACCATTAAACTTATCAGCAGAAGGTTACACAATTTTTACACGAATACCCACTAACGCATAGCTACATCCACAGGGATTTTTCAATACTCTCTCACTCTCCTCCCCTGGTCGAACTCCTTATTCTCTTGATAATGTTTTTTCTCCTTCCATTTTTTCCTGTGTTTTTTAAAAGTCCCAAAGTTATAGTCTCATACCATGTACTTAGAATCATAGAATAGTTTGGGTTGGAAGGGACCTCTAAAGGTCACCTAGTCCAACCCCCCTGCCGTGGGCCGGGACATCTTCAACTGGATCAGGCTGCTCAGAGCCCCGTCCAACCTGACCTGGAATGTTTCCAGGGATGGGGCATCCACCACCTCTCTGGGCAACCTGGGCCAGTCTTTCACCACCCTCAGCGTAAAAAATTTCTTCCTTCTATCTAGTCTAAACCTTTAGTTTAAAGTCATTCCCCCTTGTCCTGTCGCAACAGGCCCTGCTAATATGTTTGTCCCCATCTTTCTTATAAGCCCCCTTAAAGAATGAAAAGGCTGCAATAATGTGTCCCTGAAGCCTCCTCCTCTCCGGGCTGAACAACCCCAACTCTCTCAGCCTTTCCTCATAGGAGAGGCATTCCACCCCCCTGATCATT